ACCCCCCCCCCCCCCCCAAACCCCCTTTATTTTCTTTTGTTTTATCCAAAAATGTTTTGTACAAAATGGAAGTATGTCTGATTCAACGAATTCTGGTCTACCAGGTTGCAGATTTGGGCACTCGTGCACTTGCCATTTCATTACCTTTCTCCTGTGTTTTAGGCCTCCTTTCATCTATGATTGCTTCAACCATGGGTAAATCTGCTTTTATTTTCCTTAGCATATCAAAGTAATTTTAGTTCTCTTAATTTTCTCCTTTTCATTTCCCTTTTGGTCTGGTTAATTTTTGGCCATAAAGTATGAATATCAAAGTAATTTTAGTTCTCTTAATTTTCTCCATTTCATTTCCTTTTTGGTCTGGTTAATTATGAATAAATATTGTTGAAATAGAGTGCTTGAGAGGATAGGCATCTCTTGCCCCTAAAAGGAATTGAATTGTAATATTTGATTCTTTTTAGAAATGAAATCATAACTGTATCTTTAAACATTTGGATACCCTTGAAATTTCACTTTACAATGAAGAACCTACTAATCACAGGTGGGGTCAGATGGAGTTCAAACCTTCCATAATGTATGCTTGTTTATCCTACACTGGTTGGTTGATACGCCTATGTAAATATTAGGCCAAGAACCAGAGATTGAATTTTTGGATATTACCAAATAAGCATGCATTTAAATTTTCGTCAGAACATTCAATTTTCTAACTTTGCTCGTTTCATTTAGAATCTTTTAAGAAGGATCACGTTGCTATATAAATCAAATGCTGAGATTATTCTTTTATTTTTACCATGAGAAGTGATTGGAACAAAATTGGTAGACTAGAGAGTTGCACTTGTACTGTGACTGACATGATACCTATTAATTTCTCAGCAACATGCTTTAACAAATTTTAAAATCTGGTGCATGTTTTGGTGGCAGTGAGCGGAAGTTACATGTGGGCTTATGCTTGCTTCCAGTTTGCAATTGTCATCCTGTTTGCTCATGTGTTTTATACTATGGTAAGATCATCTAGTTTCTCTCCTATCTTGATGTAGTAATTATCGGGTTTCTCCCACATTATTGAATAAAGCCATTTTCAGATAAACATTTCTATAAATACTTGTAAGATAAGAAATTATTAAGAAAGCAAAATAAATTAAGCTTCTCCCATATGCTAAATTTGACTTACACACGAGTTAAAATCAACTTTTTGGAGAAACTAAATGAGATAATTTCAACAAATTAATTTACTCATAAATTTAATCTATGGGAGAAGTTTATTTCATTCTAACTTATTTTTTCTCTCTTATGTGTTTATTGAGAATTTTTCAAAACAGGGCTTATGTCGTTTGATGTGGTAAGAAAAAATATAAATATATCTAACACATCCCTCTTTTTTACTTATAGCTTAATGTTAATGCCATCCTCTCAGTTATTCTCTCTTCATTCACTGGATTTGGGATTTCAATCAGCTTGAATTCTCTGCTAACGGAATATGTTAGATGGAGAACAAGAAGACTGATTCAATCAACACAGCAGCAGCAAGAACATCAAAGACAGCGTCATCAACTGCATAGGCTGCAGCAAGAGCAGAACCAATGACAGTAGCTTACCGCATGTTGAGACCAATCTTTCACACAGAATTTTGTGGCCTCATTTATTTATTTAATCTCAGTTAAGAAGCTACAAAGATTTGGCCTTTTCAGTTTGGTGTGAACCAAAACATATGAATCCACCATGAGCTGCATGATAGGAGCGTGTTGTTGAATATATTTTGAAAAGGGGAAGGGGGAGTTTTGTGCTTACAATATATGGTTGTCATGTATTTTAATCATTAAATTCTTGCAACCAGATTTGTACTGTAATAATTTGAAGATAATTGACCATTCTTGTGTTGGGCATAAAAATTCCCCATGCCAACGAAAAGTGTAAATTGAGGTGTTTCTTAAATTGTCAATGCTGAAATTTGCAACACGATAAACGGTCGTACATGCTCAATTTTTTTCATACTTGCACGAGAATCTAGTAATTTTTCTTAGTATGCTAGAAATCCATGTAACATAATCCCTATTTGTATATCTTATACTCAAACCATGCGTTCAAGTTGCTTTGAATTCTACATTTTCACATTAAATGATTCCAAAATAAACAATCCATCCACAGAAAAGCAATACTTGAGGCACATAATGCAAATCTAAATATGCACAATATGAACTTCGGTATATAATAAAGCAGATATCAATCTCGATACTGATAAGGATCATTTGATCCCAAAATTGCTGTAGGAGAGCAGTGACAATTTTGATGTTCTTTATTGCTATTATTATTCTTATTCAAATACATACGCAACGACATCAAGAGGAGCACTCGCGAGTCGACGAGACAGCACAATAGTAGCACGGTTGCACGATTTACTACTATGCTATAAAAAAACATGAATTTCACCAATTCATGTACTAGATTGTCGTATAGATCAAGTTTTAAATTGTATACCTAACCATTGTGACTTTATTATTCCACTATCTTTTAAATAATGCAACATCCCTAAAAATTCCTTAATAAGTAACACTAACCATTTTCTGTATATTTACTAGAACAAGGCAGAGAGAACTGTACAAAGTGTCCTAACAGCAAACTCAGGTTCTTCTCTGCTAGTTTGGGAGATAACCAGGAAAATCCAAATCCAAATGTAGAGTTGCAAAACTACGAAACAGACAATCTCAATAACTATATTCAAAATTTTAGTTCTACGAAGTAAATTCCCCAGGCGTGGTTGGTAAGACAACGCTGTCCACTGTCAAACCGAACCCCAATAACATTCCATTCCAAATGACAAGAGATTAAGATCGGTCAGTCATTGATGTCAGATAATACAAGGAACTGTATGAACACGTTTAAAAGTTAATGCTTGATTCAACTATGCCACCACTATATATTTTAAATCGTTGGTGGCAATAAATTCCATACAGTGCCTGGAACCCCTTGGTTGAGACTTGAGGGAGTTTCTAGAAATTGTGATGACTTCGAGATCTATCGTTTAGACTTTGACTTAGTCAAAGCTTCAATGAGTCTGTACATCCAACGGTCCAGCATTCCTGTTGATGTAAATGAGTTTAGACATGAAATTTGTGTGAAAGAAACAAAACAGACTGCAGCATAAGGACTCCAGAAAACCAACGTCTGAGAACTTGTTAGTAAATATCCTATCGTAGCTATTTAATCCTAGAGATGGAATTATATCACCTAATTTAGCTTCGATTCTTGATTAAAATGATTAACCACAGTTGAATTGTCTAAATTGTGGTATGGCTTAAAGTATGCCAAAACAGAATTCTCGGGAACTTTTCTATTTTACTTTTTCTGGATTACCTAAAAAGATAAGTCACTTTTTGCACAGCAATATATAGATCAACCTTAATAGATTAAAGGCTAAGTTTTTGATCCGCAAGCTATTTTGAAATGTTCATTTTAGTCTCTATAAAAATTTAATACGTTTTAATCCCTACATTTACCCAAAAACACATTTTTAGTCCTTAATAAGGGACCAAAACCACATCACTTTTGATAAATTTAGGGTTTTGATAAATTTATCACTTTTGATAAATTTAGGGACTAAAAATGTATTAATTTTTATAGAGACTAAAATCAATATTTTGAAATATTTTGAGGAATTAAAAATATATTTTACCCTATATTAAATGATCATATCACACAAGTATGGTACAGAATCAGTAACTAAGTACAAAACCTGTCACAGCAAAGGTTCCACCTAGCACAGCACATAGTCGGGTAATGAAATGAAGAAAACTACGCCGCTCGCTCTTCCTTGATAGTGACAGTAATAGGTGATAGATCATACAAAAAGTAGACAGCTGCAAACAAAGGATAAATGGGAAACAATAATCAAAATCTAGACTACAAAAATGAACAAAGGCAATGTCAAATATAAAACCAACCTGGCCAGGTTCGATCAAACTGATTAATGGGGGAATAATATTCTGATACTGAGAACTGATTAGTTGGTAGAACTTCTTTTGAGATATATCTATATTCAGTTGGAACAACCTGCATCAGTTTGAGTAATTTATGAATCTTACATAAGAAAAGATGTAGCCATTACAAATACAATCACTAATTGTACTCAAGTTTAAGAGCAGCTCTAGGATTACGAACAGTACCCACAAGTCTCACTTCAGGAGTTAGTTTTTTGCACAGACTAAAGGAAGATAAATTAGGCATTTAAAAAATAAAGTTTATTTAATTGAGGCTGGTCAAGAAAGAAGTCAGATCAATACTATAAAATGAGATATAAACCAGAATTTTAATCCATGGGAGATATCGCGTTGAACAATATACAAATAGCCACTCTGCTAAACCAACTATTAACTGCTCATTGATTTCAATATAAAAAAATTACAATAAGCTGTCATCAATAATGTATTATAGTATTAGGGCAGATTGTTATGTGATAGGACCTGTGGATCACAGATTGACGCAGGAAGGAATTAAATCAGTTGCTGGACTTAAGCCCAAAGAAGCCCATAGTTTGGAGAGTTTATTCTAGAATAAAGTGGAACCAAGAGACAATTAGTTAGTGATGTGATTCTGTTGGAATATCGGAATTAAGAAAGATAGAGAGAGAAGAGAGGGGGAGGAGAATAGTATTGGACAGTTAGGAGAATATCTTTATGAAGGAACTCTATGTCTGGTTTACTGTTTACTTTTGTTTGTAAGAGCTTAATCAACTCAATTTTGTATTTCCAACAACACAATCAGACCTGAAGTATTTCGGGTTTCTATCATTATGTAATTATGTTAATTAGAGTAGCTGTATATTCTTGTAATTATTTGTAATTACCCTTGTGTTCATGACTCTACAAACATTTGCTTCGCCTAGTAATTTAAACACATGGAATTCACCGTATGTCTCTCATTCTTTTTCTTTCTCAACATAAAATTTGTTTACGATACAGGTTATATCCTTCAGCTAATTCTGAAACTTAAAGTATTTAAACCTCTATTTGACTGTAAATCCAGCAAACATCAAAATTGTACATTGAAAAACTAGAAATCAAGCTCTACATATTTCCAGCAAACATCAAAATTGTACATTGAAAAACTAGAAGCACTAAACCAGGTTCTATAATAATCATCCAACCTTGCTATTCCACTTGGGTTGAATCTTTTAGATCTTGGTGTTTTCTAGCTTAGAGTTATTTTGTGTTGGAACTTGGTGGTGTTAGTGTTAATATTGGACACTTACACTCGATCCAGATCATAATAAGAGTTTCCCTTAATATGCCTCTCTAAAACCTTCTTGCTTTTCAACAGGAATATATGGGTAAAATTGGCAATTGATGGATAGATGTATAAATTTTCTATCTCCACAAATAAGTAAATAACAGAATAACCATAGTCTTAACTGTTGATTACAATTACATAACCTGATTTCACATGTCTACTTTACAAGTGTTTGATTAACTGGGTCTAATTACATTCAAGAGAAACAAGGGGCTGTGAAGGTTTTGAAAGCAGAATAAAATATACCATTAGGAAGAAAAGAAAAGATGGCTGGATCATTATGTCAGTGTGTTGTTACCCCGGACTTGAAATCTTATTTTTTTTTTTTGCTGTTGAATGACCATATATTCAATGACAAAGAGGACACCACAAATATTTAACAGCTGATTTCATCAGGCAGGCGCAGTCAAGAATCAATCCAGGTAATGAATAAAGATGAGGAAAAAATAAATAACTTGGCATTCTCCAAACTATCAGAGAGGAGCATGAAGGAGTAATCGTAGAAAACTGCACTATTACTTAGGCTAGGTGTAAAGATTATTCAAGAAAGAACCCAAATTACAAACCTTGATATAATATTTAAATGTTCCACTGGTATCATGCAGAATCCTTGTTGTGTCATCAAGTGGGTTGTGAAGTCCTGGATATTTGGGGCCGAATGATAAATCATGGATAACATGACTTACATTCACATTTTTTGCCCCGTCAAAGATCTACAGAAAATCATCACAACTGAGTTAATTAATTGATATACAACAAATCATGAATCTGATGAGCAACTTGCTAATCAAATTATAGACAGGAAGGTCTCATACAAGCTAGTATAACTTGCATCAAAATAAATTTATCTGCATATTCTAATTAAGACTAGAAATGGAAAATCTATCCCTGTATAAATTAGTATCATTTGCAAAATAATTAAACAAGGTCATGGTTTTTGGAAGTCCCAACTGTTTGTGCAGAGATGTAGCATTGTAGATGCTCCCCATCGGGAGTGAGGAGTCTTTTTCATTTAGTTGGCCCTTTGCAATTTAATTGTATTGAGGAGTGAAATCTTTTATGAGCAAGCCAAAATACAAAGAGAAGGTTTATTTCAGTTATAGAACTGAGATCGTAACATACACACACACATGCCTCACTAATCAAAAATCATAAATCGCAATTGATAAATTCATATAAGTTCTACTTTCCAATTGTTGTAAAACTCCTAAAGATGTAGAACAGGTAAATCTTTAGAGACACAATGGACCTGTAAGAAGTTATAGCCATCAAGGCCGCAAGATTTCTGCTTATCCCATCTCTAGTAGTTAACGGCAAATCTCTGACATGAGGCCTTTCAACCAAGGTAGAGCTTTTCAATGCAATAGGAGACATCTAACTATGTAATAAAGGCCCATAAACTTCCTCCCACAAATGGAAAATTGCAATATTCAGTCTTCCTGAGAAACCCTTAAACTATCCACTTCAGATTCCATGATAAAACTTTTCAAATTTCGACATGTATTCTTGCGCTTTGATATTTTCTCCGTAGTTTCCTAGAGAAAGTAATGCAAAAAGAAATGGAATTCTTTTCTGCCTTTGGCAGAATATTTGCACTTGGACATTCACATGTTCTATCTACTCATTAATGAAATTTTGGGACAGAATGTAAAAGCTTCATAAAAGAATTCAAAGTGTAAT